GGCACCCAACAACAACAACAATTCAAAGGTGGTGCCTCTCTAAATGTGTAGACCACCAGTGGCACCTCAGGGGAAAGATAGCCAATCTTTCCCCATGAGATTTATAACCTCCGAAAATGCACAACACCAACAGCTATGAGCCATTTCCTACGTGATAGCAATGAATTGAGTTGTTTTGAGATTTAACAATATTTCTATAGTTTCAATGTCATTTTTAAAGGAAGTCTTAGAAAACTAAAGATAACAAAGTGGTATTATTTAAGATAATTGTGAATGTACCAAATGTTTCATAAATATTTGGATTGATTGGATTGTGTAAAAACCCAAAGAATTTGTAGTGCAAATTAGCCCAAACAATCTTAACTTTACTGAAAGAATTATGGAGCAGGTGAAAAAAGATTAGAGTTATCTTAGAATTTTGCTAGTTAATTTAAAGTCAAAAGACTGTTTTGTGAAGCTAGTAAGTAGATAATATCAGTGATATCTTACTGGTATTGTTTTAGTTGGCTGTGCATGATGCAGAAAGATTTTTAAAAAAAGATTAATTTGGAAGGAAGAACTAGATATATTTTCCAAAGTTAGGGATAACTTAAAGAAAAAATTTGAGAATCTTTATTCCCCCTTCCTATTATAAGATATTGAGTATCTTGAGAAATATTATCTGATCTCTGTAAAACAATCTTTGTTCAAAAACAATTTTTAATTTTCTGAATATTCTAGATTTGCAACAATTTTAACAACTGCCACTGTGAGAAAAACTTTGCTCCTCCAAACTGCACACCAATGCCAGGGGAGTTTGGTAGTATCAATGATGGACATCCAACTAAAAAACGTTAGTATCTTTTAAATTTTATTAATGAAATACAATATGCAAGAGGGTAAATTTAAGACTTCCAGTGAGTGAAAATAAACTGATGTGGGGAAACATGCATTTATTTTCCTTTCTTGATTTAAGAAACATAAGACATGATGCCACTGTTGTAGAATGGGACTGTCCTTGGGGTTGGGGAGAGACTGAGTAAGATGGGTTCAATAATGTATACTGCACTGAAACAGAGGAGGG